GTTTGGCCAAAATGTTAGTCAAAAAAATTGCTGTTTCTTTAGGTAACATGGTGGAAGTGACAAGAATTTAGGGACAGTCCTAAGGTATCCATGCCTAAACAGATAAATATTTAGTGTCAGCTTTCTTCTCTATATTTCTTTAATGTTTTGCTAAACTTGCATTCAGTTGGAAGTATAGTAACTCAAATGTAACTTTCTATGTAAAACAATATGTTGGAGACATCTGGTGGAAATATTTAATATTGCATGATGGCAATATTTGATGCCTGCAGTTTTTGAAAATTATCAAAATGAAGAAATTTAATTTTTAGCGTGACATTGCAATCTGAAATAAAACTCTGTCTTCCTTGCATTTTTTATTTTTATTTTTTAATTTGAAATATGCCTGTGGACTTAAAATACCAACTTTATCTTCCTGTCTCCTTAGGCAAACAGTGCCTTATCGTAATTACTGCTGGAAATATTTTGCTTTTAAGGGAAAATTGATTGTTCAACAGAAGAAAAGATTGTAGTAAAACTCAAGTTAAATATAAATAATATCATAATTGCAACTGAATTAATGCATCTCTATGGTCCCTAATCATCACAAAGAAAGAAATGTTGGTATAGAAATAAATAAAAACTAACAAAAGGAATAGCAGCAGAATTTGGTTTTGTTCTATGCATGTAGGCTCTCAGTAATCCTCTAATAATGAAATATTTGGCAAAAAAAAAGTCTTAAATACATTCCCTCTTGGCCTTAGGCATTTTACCATGTACTCCCCATATTCAGAATTCAGACATACAACTCTCTTCCTGTTGTAGTTGATGTATCCTTTCTTCATAAAATGGCTTTAAGGTCATCCTCTCTTTTACTTCACAGCTGGCAACAGTAAGTCCAGACCAGAGTCTCAGTGACTAGATTATTCGCACTTCCTCCTCACGGGGGCATTTTGTAAGTGTCAGATGTGCATTGGAAGGAAGGTGAATGAAGTATAATCTATACAGGAACTATATATTTTAGAAATTAATATAGAGAAACAGTTCTTGGTGCAGGGTTTGGAGCTCACAGTTCCTTCTAAGTAAGAGTCTTAACCACTGGGTTAGAGAGTCATGGGCACTGTTGCCTGCTCTTTTTGACTTTGTGTGTATATGTTTTTAACTATTCTGTTACCAAGAGACATAATCTCATTTGGAGGAATGGGATAACCCCTAAATAGGCCAGTGTAGGTAACTCATCGTTACAAGACAAGGTGCTTTTGATCAAAAGAAAACCTTTGGGCATTTGAAAAGTTTCAGTGCTGAAAACAGGTACTTACAAGTGCCGTGGGACTGAATAAGCAGTTTGAACTGAAATTTTGGGGCTCCTCATTTTAGATGAGGCTCTTGCATTCTTCCTCAAATTTAGGTCCAGCAAACTACATCATTTATGTTGATCTCATATACATATATAAATTCTA